AAAAAATAAAAAAAAAAAAAAAAAAAAAAAAATGACAGTGCTTCTGTATTAGCCTCACCTCCCCGAAAGTATTAGTAATGTGTCATTGAAGTGTCCATTAGGATTGCTACAGCCAACTTACAATGCTGGAGATAAAATAAGAGTTATGTAAATGACCAGTCAGATCAACTTTTGAGCAATTAGCTAGCTGGTGAACACATTTCAGGATATTTAATGTATAATTTAAATTTCCTGTAGAGACTTTTCCTTCAGGGTTTGCTACTTGTCCTTAGAATATTTAAAGAACTTTACTGTGCCATGCAACGTACAAGATTGTCCGCTTCAAAGTCCGAATGAACATTGAAACTTGAACACCAAAAAAAAAAAAAACTTAATACCATAGTTACAACATTTAAATTATAGTAATTCTAAGTAGTGAAGATCTTAAAATCATACACATTTCCTCACCTGTGGACAAGTGGCCTTTAAGAAAGCTTGTGAGTGTTGAAAGCTGTCATATAGCCAGCTACTCTAAGTAGCTTTGCCACTTTTATACTTGTAAGAACTTCAGCAAAGTTATACTGTCCAATAACAATATAGTTATATAATACCTCTCTGTTATCATTTGTGCTTATGTTGTAATACAGCTGGTTAACTGGCCATCTAGTCCCATTGGTAGCGTTTCGTGGTCATCAGTGTTCAGCGTAGTCTGTCTTCCTCTGCGTCTTGCTCTGTCTGCATCTTGTCAGCACAACCGAACCTAGCCCTCTGGTTTTATGTCAGCTTTCCCTTGTCTCTGTGTTGTCAGTCCTGTTGGCATTTCTCATTTAGGAAGGAAGTGTTTTCTGTGATCACCAAATGACAACCATAATTTGTGACTCATATCTAATTTAGTGTAGCATACGTCCTACAGTTTGAACCTCAGTGTGTTTACAAACAGAGGAGGCGACGCCCTTTATTTCCTGCTGCCCTTCCAGTCAGCCCCTGGATTGCCACGCATTTTCTTCTGGAAGGTTGCCTCCATGTGATTTCACATTACAGGAGGGTTTTCCTTCTTTGTTTCTCAGACCTGGTCCTGTAGACGGAAGGAGCCTGGACAGTGACACATGCTCAAAGGCCCTGCAGGACCGCCATGGCTTATGATGACTCCGAGAAGAAAGAAGGTATGACCCCTTAACCTGAGGAGTGTCCTCTTCAGGCCTTACAGCCATGGAATAGAGACCAGCACTGGGCGCCACAGCCTGGACTCCACGTGCCAGTCCAGGGCACTGTGCTGACACTCAGCCTCCACATCATCCCCAAACTGGGCCTGTGGAAACGAAAACCAGGACAGGACAGGGGTTCCAACATGAGCCTCTCAGCCCTTGCCACCTCCCTGTGCAGGAGGCTGGGGTAGGAACCACGTGTGGACATCCACAGAGCAGCGAGCACAGCGCAGGAATCCTTGCTCTTTTCTGCTTTACCTCTGCAAGTTGTCCACCCACCAGAGCACAACTGAGAACAGTATCTGAGGATGCACACTGGGCCTTTCATAGCACGGAAGCGTGGTTCTTCAGGTTTGACTCTTCTATTTGCAGCCAGGTCATCAAGAAATACTCTGGTCCCTCTGGATCTAGCCCAGTGTCTCAGTGGACTGAGTGAAATATAATTTTAATCTGGAAATACAGGGGCTCTTGGTTGCTGCTTACCTTTCTCATTGCCTTTCCCAAATGAATTTGTGCTCCTCAGATTGCTTTGATGGTGATCACGGCTTCGAGGATATAGGACTTGCAGCTGGCCGAAGCCAACGAGAAAAGAGACGTTCTTACAAAGATTTCTTAAGGGAAGAGGAAGAGATTGCTGCTCAGGTCAGGAATTCTTCCAAGAAGAAGTTAAAGGTAAAGTTCTGAACATTTGAATTAGGAAAGTTTTAAACTTATCATATTTCCAAAATACGAAGGCGGAAGTATCTTTTCAGGTATTAAAACATAATAAATGGTGCTCACATCCATGTTTATTGTTTCCTATGCTTAACTTTGTTTTTCAAAGTCAAAAACCATCCATGAACAACAGTGGTTCTAAACTGCATTTGCCTTATATTTCTTTTTTTTTTTCTCATCGTATTTCTTCCCCCTGTTTTGTACTAGAGCTGGAACCCAGGGCCTTGGACTTGCCAGGCTGAGCTGCATCTCCACCCCATAACTGTCCTCTCCTTGTTTGTTCCTTTTCCTCTGCGATTGCAGGACAGTGAACTGTGCTTCTTGGTGACGGACACACACAGGAAGAAGAGGAAACACTCCCCTGATGACTACCACCATGGAGGTAAGGCCGGGAAAGGCAGCAGGTGGGCAAAATGCATCGCTGGTTCTTGGAGTCGGGGTAGGGGAAAGGGATCCAGATGTTGCTGACTCAGTGGCCTATTTAACAGGACAGTGGTTCTTGTTCTGAGTGCCGATAAACCAGTGTGAAGGAGGAGAGGTGGAGGGCTGGTATTGTGGAGGCTTCAGCATAGAAGAACAGTCTTCATTTGTGATACACAGGTACCAGGTTCCTTCTCCCCCCAATCATCCACTTATCTTGTGCCATTGTTATCTAGCATCCCTTTGCCACTGTAGTCCTGGGCCCTCCAGCCTGTGTCTGTGGGTCATTTCTCAGGGCACAGCCACTCACGAAGCCGGTGTTCTTACTGTGCTCTGCCTACACTGGTGAGACTAACCTCATACCGAATGAGTCTGTCCTGATCACAGAAACCAATAATCCCCTGTCTGCAACCTAATCTAATCTAAACCATAGCTCCCCTAACCCGCAGCAGTAGTCTGTTCTTCTGGGTGCTCTCTGGTTGCTTGTGAAGAATCAGTGAAGAGAAACAACTTCAGCGGCAAGGCAGGCAGCACCTGGGTGCCACCTCCAAGCATGAGGAACCGAAGGGCCTCCCTTGATCACTCGTCAGCCTCTTCCTCGAGTTAGTGGGGTGTCTTTGCTGAGGGGGACACTTGGTAGAAACTGTTCCTGTCTTCCTGACAAGCACTTCTCTTGATTATTTCTAGACATTTCTTCTTTGGAATCAGCACAAAAGAAAAAGAAAAGGTCCAGCCCACAGGCTGCTGACACAGCTATGGACCTGTTAAAAGCGATCACTTCCCCGCTGGCAGCAGGTGCCATTCCCCCCAGAAAGGCAGGGGAGAAGTCCTCTGGCTCTTCGAGCCACTCAAGCCACTCAGAGAGTAAGCGAGAGCACCACAGGAAGAAAGGCAGTGCCGGCAGCGGGGAGCTCCCCCCAGAGGATAGCAGCTCCCACAAATCCAAGAAAATGAAGCCACTGTACATGAACACAGAGACCCTGACCCTGCGTGAGCCTGATGGCTTGAAGATGAAACTTATTCTGTCGCCGAAGGAGAAGGGAAGCAGCTCCGTCGAGGAGGACTCTTTTCAGTACCCTTCTCAACAAGTAGCAGTGAGAAAATCCTCTAAGAAGTCAGCTCGGGATGAGCAAGGTGCTTTACTCCTAGGACATGAGTTACAGAGCTTTCTGAAAACAGCCCGGAAGAAGCACAAGTCATCCTCAGAACCACACTCATCACCTGGCCCTGAAGTCTCTGGTTCCGATGCTGCCCAGTTCCCAGAACCCCACGGCACTAACCTTGACCTTTCAGGGCTTGAGCCAATTCTAGTGGAGTCAGACTCGTCCTCTGGTGGGGAGCTGGAGGCTGGTGAGCTGGTGATAGATGATTCCTACCGGGAAATCAAGAAGAAAAAGAAGTCAAAGAAAAGCAAAAAGAAGAAGGACAAGGAGAAGCATAAAGAGAAGAGGCACTCCAAGTCCAGGAGAAGCTCAGGGCTGCCTTCTGCCACTCTGGGAGATGTTGCGGTGACTCCTGGTCCCCCTCCTAGCATCCCGTACACTGGGGCTGCTGCTGCCCCTGCCCCACCACCTCTCAGCATCCAGACAGATGGGCATGGAGAGAAGAAGAAGAAGAAAGAGGAGAAGGACAGAGAGAGAGAGAGGGGAGAAAAGGTAAAATGTTTTCTGCAGGGGGGTGAGGTTGGTAAGAGATGAAACGGGTCTTCCTGAGTAGGAGGGCGGGCGTGCCGGGGCTCTCTCAGGGATAGGGTCTGCTGGAGTGAGAGAAAGTGTTGCCAGTGGCCATGACTGCCTGTTACAGAAATAAGAGCTGTCTTTTTTTTTTTTAATCTTACTGAGTTTATTGGTACTTCTTAAGTATATAGTACAGTTACATTCATCATTGGATCTTGTACCCTTACGTGACAGATCTTGGTTCTCATTTAGAGCAATCTTGATTATGTATGGCTTCCTTCATAGTAATTCCCCCACTATGCCAATCATAGCTGAGGAAAAAGAGCTTCTCATGGCTGGTTCTTAGAATTCACAGAAGAAACTGATCCATTTCTTTCCCTCAGCAGTGCCGTCTGCCAGGGCAGTTGAGAGATGTGAAAGATGTCTTGAATTCACTGTGGAAAAAGCAGGTCTTCAGAGTCAGTAGCATTATGACCAGTCAGGTCCCAGAAGAAGCCAGCAGCCTCCCGAGGACTAGTGTTGGCTTCCAGGGTTGTCTTGGTGCCAGACCTGTTCTTTCAGCACTTGAATACCTACTGCCACAGGACTTTCTGCTGTAGGTGCTACCTGGAGGGACAGAGAAGAACAGGACAAAGTTCTGGCCTTGAAGAGTCCACTGACCCCTGGAGATGGGATTGAGGAAAGCCACCTGGCTTTGATTTCTTCCTTTAGAGCTGAGGTTTCTAACGGTTGTATTTTAGCTGGGGATTTAGCTCAGTGGCACTGCACCTGCCTCACAAGTGCAAGGTCTGAGGTCAAGCCCCAGTACCGAAAGAAGAAAAAAAAAAAGAACCTAACAGTTGTATCCCAGGGTCTCATGGCTGTGTCATTAAAGGCTTCCTCTTTAAAAATACTGGTAAATATTTTGTCCCTGCTGTCAAAGTAGTAGCTTACTTGATAGAAATTTATAAATTCTATAATTTATAAAAAAGCAGAGAAATCTTATTCTAAGATAAATTACCAAATGTGCAAAAAAGTAAAAAGAAATCTGTAAGGGCCAGGGATTTAGCTCAGTCAGTGGTGCCTTGCCCTCCTCACAAGTGCAAGGTCCTGAATTCAGTGAAGTCTGTAAACACAAAATAGTAGAAAGAAAAAAATGAGTTTTGCCACCTGAAAACAACCATTCTCTTTCTTTGTTTATATTTTTGAAAAATAAAATATCCAATAAAATCTGAAGAAAAGCTAAGGGGCAGGTAAGAATTTAGAAATGGGAATTTAATTTCTGTCTGTAAGGTGCACATTAATTTTCCCCTGCACAGAGTACCTTGGACAGGGCTAGGGCTAAGTACTGGGGATGCAGCCCAGGTTGGACTTGAACTTGCAAGATCTTCCTGCCTCTACCTCCTGGAGTGCTGGGATTGCAGGCCTATGCCATTGCACCAGCACAGGTGCCTTTGCTAATGTGGGGAGGGAGCCGTGGATGTGTTTGGGTCTCTCCGGGAATAAAGAGGGAAGATAAGGCCTTCTGAGCCTAGAGGAAAAAGACTCAGTGGAAGCAGAGAACTGTTTGAGAAGTAGCATAGAAGTCACAGCTCTGGCCTTGTTTCCATCTTCCGGGTAAATGTTCCTACCTTACTTACCGGGCGAGTGAATAAATATGAGGGTCTAGGCCCTGGCCACACACCCACGATGGCCTGGGTTCAGCCCCAACCTTGCATCAGTCTGCTTTCCGAGCCTGATGGGCATCAGGCTGCTTTCTCGAACAGTCTCACTGCCATTCTTTTGCACACAGAAGACCCAGAGCGCCGTAGAACAGTTGGAGCTAGGGTTGAAAATTGAGTGTCCCTGTTCCTCTGCTCTCATGCTGAGGTGGTGCCTTCCAGACCTGATCTGATGCTCCCTCTCCAGAGACACCCAACTCCTTCTCAGAGTTGGCTTCTACACACCCCTGAGCCTTGCTGTCTTTCCTGTTGCGCATTTTCTTCCTTGTACTGGAGCTGTCTTATGCATACACCATTGCCTCTCTCAAAAACCTCAGTGGGAGGGACTGCATTGGTTACCTTAATGTGTCCTCAGCTCCTCAGAGTCCTTAGTGACTATTTTGTAAATTGATGTCGAATGCATGAACTTTAGGATGAAAGGAACATACTGAGAAGACAGGTTCTGGAATGCCAGAAAGAAGCCCTTGGCAGTTGGTACTTTGTGGTTTATGAGCAAAGTTTGGATCTGATACAAATGATAACTTAAGAATAAAATGACAGGGGCTGGGGATTTAGCTCAGTGGCACTGCACCTGCCTTGCAAGTGCAAGGTCCTGAGTTCAATCCCCGGTACTGAAAGAAAATGAAAAAATAAAACGACAGAGCCGTACAAGGTGGGTTAAACTTTTGACAGACGCTGCAGATCATGATGGTGCAGAAGGTCAGCAGTAAGAGCTTGAGAACGAAAGTGAAGAGGCAGATCCCAGACAGTCTGAGGGAAAAGTGAGCACATGTAGGGAAGGTGCCTCTGAGTACTGGAGATAGCGGTCTCTCAAGATCAGGAGTTGCTCGTTCCCTGTGGGGATGTCATTACTAAGACTTTTAATTTATAGTGAAAACCTTAATATAAGTTAATACTTAATAAATTAATACTTGTGGCTATCCAAAAATCTGAAACAGTCTTACTTTAAGTCCAATAACTTATCAAACAAACATTTTTAGTGTTAACTACCATGTTTTTTAAATCTGACCTGGGCATAAAAATTCCCCACGAAACCTTGAATAAAGTATCTTTCCATGGGTTTTGCAGTATGAACTGTCCCAAGAGTCAGGGACAGGGCTGTGGAGAGAGAAAGGAGACCTCAGGCCCCTGTGTGCAGAGTGGAAATGCTGAAGGCCCTGGAAGGCCCTTTGACCTTAGATTGTAGGAGCAAAACTATTTGAAAAAAAGAGGAAGGAGAAGAACAACCAGTTGTGGAGAGGATGATAATTTAGAGGAGCAGCTAAGCAGTTGAAAGTGTGGGCTGTGGAGCCCAACCTCTTGGTCCAGGTCCTGGCTTGTGTGCCAGGCAGGATCTGTGATGTGTCCATCCAACTCAGCTGAGGGTGACAGCAGGCTTCCCTCCAACGGCTGCTGAGGATCGAGTGAGGTGATGTATGGAGGCGCTCTGGGTGCCATGTCAGCTCCCCAGGCGATGTGGTAAAGTTTCCAGGGAAACAGCGCTTTGACACCTATGAGCTGCCTTGTGAACTGCTAGCTGGGTGCAGTTCCCAGTTTCAACAACTGTGGTGCACTCCTTTCAGCAGTGCCATATCTTTACAGGGTTGAATTTTCGGTGGCTACTGTGATAAAAATCAAACCAAGTACCATGTGAAAGCCCATGTAGGCACTGAGGACCAAGCAGGTTTGGGAACTGGGCACAGTGCCGAGCACCAGTTATATAAATAAATCATACTCTCTGTGGGAAACCCCAGAGAGCCGTGGAGATGTGAGACCCAGGATTCAGGCAAACACTTGGAACTAGGGGTGTGCAGGAGTGAAATCTGTGAATGACTAGGAGGAGATCGAGCTGGAGCAGAATGTTAGAATACTGGTGTTGGGGACCAGAGTGGGCGGAACTGTTGTGTTGGAGGAGAAACTCAGAGGGAAGGGAAGGGCAGTTCCTAGAGTCATTGGTCCTCTGCTGTGAGGCTAGGAGCTGCAGTCCCTGGGACAGAACCCAGCTCAGCAGCCTCAGCTGTTGTGGGGCCAGGGAAAGTGCTGTGCACACGCAGGGGCTCCTACTTAGGGAAAAGGGATTCCTACTGGGAGAGAGGTGGTTCCGAGTTTTTTTGCAGGCTGGTTTTTGGTTTTTTGCTTGCTTGTTGTTTTGTTATTGTGGTTTGTATGTTTTGAGTCCTGCTTTCTAAGGAAGGTAGATAAATCACGTGGCAGTGTCTTGCTCAGTTCCCACTAAAGATCATCACTTTGGAATGAATGCTTTTTGTCACATTGCAAGTGTACCTGACTTGGTTTTACTAATTCTGTGAGAGCTCATCGCACACACTTCAGAGCTGTGCTCCCCTAGGGTAGGGCCAGGCAGCAGAAGTACCTGGCACCAGCAAGCTTCAGGGTGCATCCACTAATAAGCTGAATTTTAAGGTCAACTCACGGTGGTTCCAGGGCTCTCTCTCAGGCAAAGCTGGAGCTGAGTAACAGCAACTGATGGTGAGGAGCATCAGTAGCCATCTCTGAGCGCCTGCTCTGTGCCGGGTTTTCAGGCTCGATAGGCAGCTGTCCATGCCCCTGTGTGATGGAAGAAACAGCTGAGAAGATGCAGAGCCAGCATTTCAGTACAGATTTCCTTAACCCCGGGTCTGGCCTCTCCCACTGTAACCTCGTGCCACATGGTTACCCACACCATGATACATCTTGGCAAAGCTAAAAACATTCTGCGTCAAAGAAAATCGGTTGAGGGTCTTGGGTCTGAGGTCTGCCCTGTACAGAAGAGGGAGGCTTAAAGCAGAGTGCCGAGCAGTGGGAAGCTTGGCCTCAGGTCCATTGTACGAGGGTTCCAGCCTAACCTGCCGCTTCCTGGCTCTTCCCTTGACATGCTTTCTTGTTTCAGTTTGCTAACATGTAAGATGGGGCTGTTCTGGTTAAATTCCTTAGCTGTAAGGTGCTCAGTGTGCAGGCTCAGGAGACATTGGCCGTGGTTAGAATTGCTGTGCTTACACCCCGGAGTTCTAAAAGCATGGGTACCTCTTTAGAACTTTTTGTCAGTTCACATATTACATTGACTCAGCAAGGAGGCTGTTATGTATCTAATGCCTCCTCGGCATCCACACACTTTTAGGGGACAAGACTGGGGCACATATTTGGAAACAGTTGAGAACAGAAAGCAAGCAGGGGTAAGGAACAAAAGCAGATGTTATAGGATGTTTCCTCCAGCTCATTGCTCTGTGGAGAGCCCTGACGTCCCTGATGGAGTGCAAGAGAAGAGCCTTGTGTCTCCTCTGTTGTCTACTTTTAAGGCAAGGA